TAATTGATACCTGAAAGACTGGAATAAACTTACAATGTTATCAATAGTTTGCATAGCAATAACAATGTTGAGGTACGTTACATGTATTTCTAGTTAATTATAAATGTCAATCGTATAAGAACACTGATTATAGAAATGGGAAAGTTTTATATCTTATGAGTTTTATTGTTGTTTTCATGTATGAATTCGATCCTTTGTATTTGGCTAGAAAGTCGTTATATCTTGTTATTGTTTGAGAGTTATAATGGCGAATAATGTAATAATATACGAAAGATAATTCATTAAGTCTAAAGCTCTGGGTATTACTAATACTGAAATTTATGATTGTCAAAGTTTATGTACTTGAAAATAAACAAATAGGCTATCTGCTCAATTTTAAATTTATCGACATTTATATATGGATATGATATAACCAACCATATACACACATATATTCTACCTAAAAGTATGCTCATGAGCTTACAAATGCATAATATTACTTAATTGTTTTTTATGTTTTAAAGAAGAATTATGAATTACTGTTAGCATTAAAGGTTAAGAGAGAGCATCAAATTCGATTTCAATTGGTTTGTGGTAGACGATATTTTTAGAAAACGTTAGAGATTGCCTGAGTTTTTGGTTCATGCACGGATATTAATTTGAAGATAAAGTAAGTAAATAGGCTAGATGTTCCCTTTCAGGCCACTTGCGTAATTTATTATCAGCGCTTGTCCCTTCAGGCCAGGCGACTAATCCATTTTTTAATTCTTTAATTGTGATTGTCACTGAGTAACCAGTGATCGTAAATTAAGTTTTCCTCATCTAACTGGCATAAAACACGGCACAATAAAATAAAATGTCCATTAGACAACACAAACACTACAACATTGGATTATTAGATATGCGTATTTGTTTTGTATTATTGCTTATATGGCATACATAATTATCTACATTATTACACCTTTGTTTATATGGCATGCATAATTATCCACATTATTACACCTTTGTTTATATGACATGCATAATTATCCACATTATTACACCTTTGTTTAAAACCTACACCTCCAAGAATAATTTAAAAAATGTCAGAGTTTTAAAGCAATTATAAGGGATGTAGTTTCCATTTAAAGCATATTTATTTTCGATTTGTTAATGTGTTTTTTTTTGTTCAAAGATAATGAAGTTAACTAACTGGTTGTTGAACGTGCATACAGCTATGATGTTATTCTAGCCACTTTATTAGGTTTTATTTCAGCATTCTTAGTTACTTTTAGATAATATTCCACATACTCTTGCAGATCTTTCTTTTATGGTCATCATACTATTAACTTCTTGCTTCTCTATAAAGTATATTGCATTTTACAAAAGATGAGTTGAAAAACAATCCCAGTCTCCAGTATTCATCTGTATTTGCATTATTGAGTGCAGTATTGATCGTAAGAAAATACATACACACAAGTATCATGGATCGGAACAACAGTAGTCGTTATACAGCAGTTGAGAGAAAGGTGAGACGAAGAAGAATCAATTGTATGCTGTCTTGTATGTTAACAGCCCATTTGCATAAAGGTAAGCACTTTTTTTTAAAATTAATCATCGTGTAATACGGGAGCTGCTACGATGCAAGATGACATAAAATGATCAAGGTGTTCTAAATCTGATTGGCTGCCTTCCTCGCGCATTCACAATTGCTGAAAGTAAAAGTTCTTCGTCTAGGAAGAGGACAGTTTGTCTTTAGCTACAGTAAGGTGTTTGTGTGACAGAAAATGCAATTTTGTGCACGTTTATACCAAGCCATTATATCCATGTATTTAACTAATCTTTTTGGGTTTTTGAAATTGAATTCCAAAAATGTGCTCCGCACTTTGAAGTTATTGGTGCCTTATAAAAATGGCGGCCAAATCCCACTATTTGGTCAGTTAACAATACCCTAAGAGTTGACTAGCTATTTCCTATCTATTCTATCAATTGAAAATTATGGACAACTTTGCGTTAAAAACCCTTGAGTAGCTTTGTGCGAATATTTTAAAACAAATAAACAAGTATAGCAATTAAACACAGATATATTCAAAGCCTTAGAGTAAATAAAGTGACTTTGTTTGTGGCTTGTAGAGTGTCGTGTCATTCACTGCATTCTAACAAAGAAATTGATATATTAATTCCAAGGTAAAATACCTCTCCAATACGTGAAAATACCATTCGATTAATTCTTACATAATTATAAGGATACCAAATGATAATCTATCATACATACACGAAACATAAAATCTCTCCCCCTAAATGAGTGTGTGGGGGAAAGTATGTGAATCCGAGAGTTCATGGTTAGCACAGCCTGTTGTCGCAAAAAGGATCTCCAACGTAAGAGTGGTCCGCTTCAATGGGACAGCGTTAAGTCTACTGACTTACAATGCCAAAAGTGGCTTTGTTCCAAAACAAATAATAAGATTCGGTAAGAGAAGAGTGACCAATCAATTGGTGGTGAGTGTTGTTGACTAACTGCCTCCACTCTTTCACAATATTGATATTAACTACACATTATTAAGAATAATTATTAATTGGAAATACGTGTAATCCATCTTATGCCTAAATGTTTAGTAGGAATCGTTATTAGCTTCCAAGGATACTGTCAACGTGTAATATGAAGGACATTATCTCTTGTTATATGCTACTACATACCAGATTTATCCATATGTAACATGATTTTCTTAAAGTGTTTTTAAGTTAATAACTGCAATATCACTTCAACCCAGTAGACCTAATAAAGGAGAGTCCACTTTCCGAAAGCGCTCAGGAAATCGGGTTGTTTTCTGATTCCACGATACCTAGCTTACAAGAAGTCTAAATGTTACCAATTAGAAAAGGTAAAATATGGGTAATTAAATAGAACAGCGTTTTCCTCTCTTGTTTTGTATAAAATTAACTTTCATCAAATAATAAAATAAAAAGAAAAAACACATAAAACTCGACTTACAAATAATGGAACGTTGTACTTTCGATACCCATGGGGACAGAGCACAGATGTGTAGCTTTCTGCTTAGTTACAAACAAACAATTTTATAGGGCTTGGCATGGTCAGGTGGTTAGGGCGCTCGACTCGCAAGCTGAGTGTCGCGGGTTTGAATCCCAGTCACATCAAACATACTCGCTCTTTCAGCCGTGGGGGCGTTATAATGTGACGGTCAATCCAATTATTCATTAATAAAAGAGTAGCCCAAGAGTTGGCGGTGGGTGGTGATGACTAGCTGCCTTCCCTTTAGTCTTTCACTGCTAAATTAGGGATGGCTAGCGCAGATAGCCCTCATGTAGCTCTACGCGAAATTTAGAACAAGCCAAACCTATACTGATTTAATATTAAAACATTATACATAAAACCATCTGTTTTATGCTTCATAGGGACATAAACCCCTTCTAAGAATGAGAAAGGAAATTGTTCTTAGTTAATTAAATATCAAAACACATGGTGAATAATGAATATGAAATGTCAAAATCTAAGTGGGAGCAATTGTTTCTATTTAATTACTTATTTTATTTATTTAACAAATGAAGAATTGGTACAACCAATATAACACAATAAACGGGCATGAAACTTGTTGATGTAAGTGTAACATAGATTTTTGTGACACCATGGAAAACAGATCGGTAATTCTTTAATAGATAGTTTAGGCAGGGCATTCATATTGAGTTGACTGTGAAATGGGCGGCAACTGCCTATTAAGGAAACACTTGTAGAAATATATTGGTCACTGATTGATACATTTGATGGAAAACTAAATCTGATAATGAATAGTAGAACCACGGCAATAGTTGTAAACATCTTTAATGAACGTTTCGGAGTTACACATATTCTGTCTTCAGTAAATCTATGAAAATAACAAATTGAACAATATTTAGTATAATTACTAATATAAAACACAATAATTAGTGTTGGGAAATAAAAAGAAAACATTCCACTTACAAAGAAGTTAGAGTTTGTTTGTTTGAAGTTAAGCACATGCTACACAATGGGCAAGCTGTGCTCTGCCCACCAAGAGTATCGAAATCCGGCTTCTAGCGTTATAAGCCCGCAGATATACCGCTGTGACACTGGGGGGGGGGCAGAAGGAATAAGGCAAGGGGGAACGAGTTTGAATTTCAAGCCTCAATTGAAATTCAAATTCGTTCCCTCCTTGCTTTGTTCAAGTAGCTCTCTCTCTCTCTCCCCTTTTTCTTTAAGTTCAATGTTTTATAATTTCCTAATTCT